TTTTTCCTTTTCTCTCTCTCTCTATCTCTGTCTCTCCCTCCCTCCTCTTCTCTTTTCTCTTCTCTATCTTTTCTCCTCTCCTCTCCTTCTTCTCTTCTCTCTCTCCCCTCTCTCTCCCCCTCTTTTCTCTTCTCTCTTTTCTTTCCTCTTCTTTTATCTCTCTCTCCCCTCATCTCTTTTCTCTCCTCTTCTCTCCTCTCCTCTCTCTCCTCTTCTCTCCTCTCTTCTCTTTTCTTTTTTTCCTTCTCTCCCTCTCCCTCTTTCCTTCTCTCTCTGTTGTACCATGCCTCAATGTTGTCCTCCCCTTCCTCCTCTCTCCCTTCTCTTCTTTCCTCTCCCTCTCTTACCTTTGCCACTTAGCATATGTAGCCTGGTATCTTCTCATGTCTTTATATCTTTTATATTCACACTTTCTATGGTAAAGAGCTAGTCTGCTGGCCAGCGTGTCTACAACTAGGAGAGCTACTATCCCCAAACTGGACTTGATCTAACTTCCTGGTCAGCTAGTTGGGAACCGCACTAGTAGGCTTCAGAAATTCCAGCTCTCCAGCTTCATGCCTGGGTAACCTCTGACTCATCAGTTCACTTGCCTGTGGAGTTAGATGACCTCTGAAGTCCCTTCCAGAGCAGATGATATTCTCTGTTAGGGAAGTCAGTGCAATGTGGTAGGGTGGAAAGGAACCACAGAACTAGGGTTCAAACCCTCAGCTCTGCTGCTTAAAATCACCTGAGTTTTCTCATCTATAAAGTGAAGGGATTGGACTAGATGACCTTTGACCTATTCCATCTCTAAATCTATCATCCAATGGGTCCATAATTCTAACTCACTATACCCTAATATCCCTTCTATCCCTAATATTGTGGTGCTGTGAATATTTCTTTATAAATATCCACTGGTTGACCAATCCTGCCCTCTACCCTCCACCCTGGTGCTTTTCTTAATTATAACTATGTAACAATGGAATTGTCTGCTTTGTAAGGTAATGAGCCCCCTGTCACTGGGGTGTTTGAGCACAGGCAGAAGGACCATTAGACTGTAAGCCTGACAGCAGAGACTGTCTCAGTTTTTGCCTTTGTGACCCTATTGCTTAGCACAGTGCCTGGCACACAGGAGGCATTTAATAAATGCTAGTTGACTGGCTAACCAATTTTCTGGGATGCTATAAAAAGAGTTCCTTTTATTGGTGAGATCCCAGACTCTCAGACCCCTCCCTTCCCACTCCAAGACTATGATGCTGAGATTCTAACCTCCTACCCCTCATCACTGGGTACAGCCTTCCTTCGAGGCAGGTAGGTGACCACAATGAACCTGGGCAGCCAGCACAGAGACCTCCTTCCCCAGATTAATGCCATTTCCAGAAGCACAGAGGGGTTACTCTGTTTCTCGGTTTCCCAGCAAGCCTGTCCCTAAATACGATCAAAATAAACCATATCATGGCTTTAAGTGATGCCCAAGGACTCATACTACAGCTTTCTCGAGCTGGGGTGCTTTCAAGCAAATATCAGTCCCACCTGTGGCTTATTTCTTCTTCTGGCTTGCCTAGGCAGCCGAGGCTTCCCTCTTTGGGAACCCCTTTGGCCCCCTGGATCCCAGAGGACCCCCCAGTCTCTGCTGGCCCCATCTGAAACCCTTTCATCTATGAAATGCAGATAATGATAACACACACTCAAAGTACCTTCACACGCATAAAGCAGGAATGGAAATATTTGTTGTTGTTCAGTCACGTCTGACTCTTCATGACCCCGTTTAGGGTTTTCTTGGCAAAGATCCTAGAGAGGTTTGCCATTTCCTTCTCTAGCTCATTTTAAAGATGAGGAAACTGAGGCAAGCAGGACACAGTAACTTGCCCAGGGTTACACAGCTAGTAAGAGTCTGAGGCTGGATTTGAACTCAGATCGTCTAGACTCCAGGACAGGGCTCTGTCCACTGCACCAATGCAAGTATTATCTCCCTTTTACTGGTTGAAGAAATAAGGCTCTCTCCCACCTCTGAGAATCCCTAGCTGCTTTCAAGATGTAGCTCAGATACCCCCTCCTACAGGAAGCCTTCCCCGATGCGCCCCCAGAGGTCACAAATTTAAAGCCACTTTAGGGGATCACCTTGTCCAATCCCCTCATTTTGCAGAGGGGAAGAAGAGGCCCACAGAGCTGGTGAACTTGTCCAAGGTCACACAGCTAAAAAGCGACAGGGCTAGGACAGGAAGTCAAGATCTCATGACTCCAAACACAACACTTCCCCGTAACACACTTCTTCGAATTATCAAACATCGTATGCCCCAGCAAGTCACCCAGTGCCTTCCCTGCACACAGTAGGCACTCCATAACACTTACTGTATCAGATTGAATTGGGAAGGTGAAATAATTTGTCCTGGGGCAGTAGAGTGCCTGAGTACAGTCTAGAATTCAGGCTTCCTGACTCCAAGAACTTCATCCTTCTCATAGTTAACATTTCTATAGCATTTAAGGTTTCCAAATATTATCTCATTTGGTCCTTACAACAACCTGGGAAGTAGGTGCTATTATTATCCCTATTTTACAGATGAGCAAACTAAGGCTGGGAAGGTATAAATGCCTTGCCTAGGGTCACACAGCTAGTAAGTGTGAGGCAGATCTTTCTGACTCGACTCAGGTATTCTACCCAATAGTTAAGGTGCTGGGCTCGGCCTGTTCTCCAAACAGATTATTAATAATGCTTGTCCCACCTACTTCATGTCTATGTCATAGGAAATGACATGAGAATGAACCCCTCGATGCTAATACAAGAGAACAGACAATGAAGGCAGTTTCCAAGCATCAGATTAATGAGACCCTCTCCGCTCAAGGTGGTAGCTCCTGGATCTTCTAAGAGTCCCAGGCACCCTGAACTCCTCCAGGACCGTTCCTATGCCTGCCCCCTCACCCATACACAGCTCTGACCTCCTATGGGGCCCAGGGGAGAGAGGGGAGAGGATCTGGATAAATCACATATGGGTGGGCCATATCTCCACCCACCCAGCCTTCTGCAAGACCTAATCCCCCAGGCCTTAAAGCACCACATTCTATTCACCTCCTCCTTCCTTACTCCCCAAGGAAGAGTGACCATGGCTACCCACTGTCAGGCCTATCCCCCCACCTCCAGATCATTTCACAACTTTGGAACTGGGGGGGGGCCCTCAAGGAGGAGAGGACAATAGATCTTAACTCTTGCTCCAGGGGGTCTCATAGCTACAAGCCATCCCAGATTAACACTTGGATACTGTCCAGCAAAGAGATCTATGGTCTCTAGCACCTCCTGATGTACTGACCTTGGACCCCCCCTACATAAGTCCTCCTTTATCCCAGTGGAGAGGTGGTCCACGACCACAGAGGTGGTTTCCTCACCAACCTCTTCCTGTGCCTCCAAACACAGGCTCAGCCAGCCAGTAGTTAAAATAGAACTCCCCAGCTCCCATCTCTGGGCTCTACAAGGCCCATTCCATGTGCACACACGTGTGCTCTTGCATGCATGCTCACATACAGGACACAATCACATAAACAGTCCTATAAACTCAGATCACCATCACACACCCCTCACAGTCACACATTCAGGTCACCAACGCATACCCATACATACCCCTCACAGTCACATGCAACCAGGTCATTATCACTCACACACATACACACACACACACACACACACACACCCCAAGTGGTTACACATACACAGTCACCAGCACACACACCCATCAGTCTCTCTCATTCACACACACATACTCTCTCATATATATATATATATGTACATACCCATAGCCCCCACACACAAATCCCAGTTATATTCCACATCACTCTCTTGCATACAACCCAATTACACATATATACCCTTTACCATCATGCATCCAGGTCACCTTCACACACACAAACACACACACATACACACACATATATATCTAATCACCATCACCCATATGTGGGTTACCCCTGCCTACCTACCCCATCTCCTATTTACATCTCCCACACATGGTCCATCACCATCACACTCATGTCTGACCCTAGTAAACCTTATGTGCCCCAACACCCTCACACAGGTGACCCTCAAAGAGTGAGAAATCTGATTCTCCAAAGGAGGACACAAAGGAATCCCCTGAGACCAATGTTTTCTGTTCACCTGGAAATGCACAGTGACCAGAGAGGCACAGATACGGGACACACCCATATTCAGAGACACTCAGCAGCAGAAATACCCAGATGCCCCTCTCCCCAAACACAGTGGTCACACCCACCAGCCTTCTCCCCACTGTAAGATTGGGGCTGTGTGGAGAAGGGTGACAAGGTCCAGCTCTCAGCAGGGCCTCAATTTGGGGGGCACAGGGGTATAGGGAAGGGGTACAAAGGATGCACAAATGGGGGTCAAAGTGGTCCCCTCAAATCATAGGCAGATGCACCTGGAGTAGATATCTAAAGCGGAGTACAGAAGGGGCATCAAAGGAGGGACTGTGCTAGACAGGCCCTAATCAGGAGATAGGAAGGAGAGGGGAGGAGGCCCTAAGGAAGAAGGGCTGGGGAACAGCAGGAGGGAAGGTGGAAGAAGGGTCAAGAGCAGGGAGAGAGCATGAAGGAGGCGGAGGAGAAGAAGGAAGCTGGCCGGGGAGGGTCAGTAAGGGAGAAGGATACTGGAGTCGACGGGAGAGGGCCAGGGAGAAGACAAGGAGGAAAGGAAGGGGGCATTTGAAGAAAGGGGAGGGGAGGACAGAGGCATTTGGGGAAGGGGCTGGGGAGGAGGATACACTTTGGGTAGTGGTCATTTGGGGAGAGGGGAAGGGTGGACACAAGGAGGAGGGGGGGTCACTAGGGGAGGCGGGAGACGGATATTTAGGGAGAGGGGGAGGGGACACCTGCGGTGGGGGAAAGGAGGGAAATTTGGGGAAGGGGAGGAGGATTCGAGAGGAAGGGAAAAGGGGGGAGACACTGGGGGAAGGGGGGAGGGAAGAGCCTTGGAAGGCGGAGAGGGAACTCTGGGGAGGGGTCTCCCATCTCTCACTCACCCCGGCGGCGCGTCCCGCCAAGAGCAGCAGCAGCAGCGGCGGCAGCAGCATCCCGCGGGTCCCGGCCCCAGCCCCCGCTCCCGCGCTGGTCCCAGCCCCGGCCCCACTCCCACTCCCGCTCCCGCTCCCGGCCCCAGCCCCGGCCCCGGCCCCTGCTCGGTGCGGCGGCCCCGGCTTCATGGCTGCAGACTAGGGGCCCGGCGGGGCGGGGCGGGGGCTGGGGGCTGGGGGCCGGGGGCGGGTCCGGCGCCTTTGTTCCCGAGGCGCCTCCGGGGGCGGCCCGGGGCGGAGCGCGCGGGGAGAGCTCGGGCAGGAAGGGCGGGCCGGCTTGGCGCCCGCGAGGGTTGCGGGGGGCTACAGCGCCCGCGATCGGGGCCGCAGCGGGCTCAACTCGGGCTCCTGGCTCCGGGGGCTCGGGCTTCGGGCTGGGGCTCTGCTGCGCTCGGACTCCGGTTCCGACTCGCGCTCGGGCTCAGGCTCCGCTGCGCTCGGGCTTCGTCTCCAGATCGGGCTTGGCTGCGCTCTGGCTCGGGCTCGGGCTTGGGCTCCTCGCCGCTCGCTCAGCCCCAGACCCTGCTCCAGCCTCAGCCGCCGCCCCGCAGGAAGCGTGCGCCGCCGCCGCCGCCGGCCCGGGGCCGCCCCCACCGCCGGGGAGGAGCCGAGTTGGCGGGCGGGAGAGCCGGGGGGAGCGCGGGGAGCGCGGGGAGCGCGGGAACGCCAAGGAGGGGGATGGATGAGGGAGCGCGGCCCCCTGCCGAGAGGTGCGGGCAGCGCGGCCCTCCCAGACCCGCACGGCGTAGCACGCCCTGCGCCCTAGAGCCCGGAGCTAGCGGACGTCCCCGCTCTGGGAATGCTGGAAGAGGGCCCCGCTACATTTAGGGCTGGAGCCTGTCACTCAATCTACCGGCTCCAGCCCTTGCCAGGCCCTGGGGGTACAAAGACTCAAGTCACAGACCCCTGCTTACATTTATGCTGCTGGGATGTGCAAGTCACCTTAGACCTCACCTGACGCAGCCCGAGCACTTTATAGAAGTGGAAAGGGGCCCAGACGTGTTAAGGGGATTTGTCCAAGATCGGGACAGGGTATTCGAACCCATGTCCTGGGATTTCAAATCTATCACCAACTGGTATCTTATCTCTAGGAACGTGAAAGACGTCCACTTATCTGGAAATGTCCATTTGTTTCTGGAATTTTGGTGCCCAAGTCGCTGGAAATCCTGGTATCTCATTCTTGGAAATACTGTGGTTGGCTTCCTGGGGAATTCTGGTGCCCAAACCTCTCAAGATTGGTGGTACCTTATCCCTAGAAAAGCTGGAGCCCACTTCTCAGGAAGGATGGGGAATTCTGGTACCCAGATTATCTAAAAAGCCCATGTCTTTGGGGATTGTAGCACTGATAGCCCAGGAGAGCAAGGATCACATAGATGCAAAATTGGGAGGGGCCTCAAAAGGCCTTATAGCCCACCTTGTACTTAATACATAGTGTAGCCCTTTACCTCATGTTAGACAAGCTGTCATCCCCGCCTCTAGTTGAAGACCCCTAAGGAGGAAGAGCCCACCACCTCTTGAGGCTGGACATTCCATTTGTCTAATTGTTAAGACATTTTCCTGATATCCTCAAGCCAAAATTTTCCTTCTGCCACTTTCAGGCAGTCCTCCAGGTTCTAGCCTTCTTCCCTGTGACAGATAGCCTTTCAAATACTTGGAGACCTGTGGTATCCTGGGGGAGGCTGGAAAGATTTCAGTTCAAGTCCTTCTATTGTCTTTGAACTTCAGCCAAGCCCTCCTACTTTTCCCCCTCCCCTCAATTCAACTCCTGATCTCCACAACTCCAAAGCTCTGCAGATCACCTTCATAATTCCTTCTCCATCAGCATCGGCTCAAATCCTTCTCCTTCTCCATAGAAGTTGGTATCTCCACCCAGAAATTCTTGTCTGAGATTGTAAGCTCCTTGAGCAAAAGGATTGTCTTTTGCCTCTTTTTGTGTCCCCATCACTTAGCACAATGCCAGGCACACAGTAGGGGTTTAATACATGTCTATTGAATGGAATAGAATTGAATTATTTCAATTATGTTCATGGTCTTAAGAGCGCCAATAAACTTGGTGATGCTTTGACATCCCTGGCAGAAGGGGTCCTTTTGGAGAAATCCCTCTGGGCCCTACTCACTGGCCCTACACTGAGTTTAGAATATCTTTGGAGGGAAAGGCTTCACACACACACACACACACACACACACACACACACACAACACAACACCCCACTTGTATAAGTGAAAGGTATAATAGAGGTAGTCAGAAGATTTACCAACCAGCTTCTGGACCAAATCAGCAACTTACCTGAAATGACCTCAGCTCAGTGCCTGGAAGTCTCCTCATGAATCCCGAGAGGAGAATCCAACAACAATAATAGGGAAAGACAGGCATATGGCATCCAAACCTCACAAAGACTAATAGAATTCCATCCAGAGGGAACAGGAGAAGGGAAATCTTAGGGTCCACATATCTTCACCTTGCTAGGTCTGAAAGGCTCTCAAGGCACCAGGAGCAGGCAGACTTCACAGTCTTAGAGCTGGAAGGGACCCAGATTCATTCCAATCTCCCACCTGGGCACAGTGACCCTGGTTAATAAGCATCAGAGACAAGACTTGAACCCTGAGCTGCAGTCACTTCTCTATCCACCACCACAAAGAAGGTGGTGTTACCTAACCTTAATCACGGAATGGTCTTTGCCTCAAACTGAAACCTGCTAAAGACCTTAGCTTTAAGAGACCAAGGCCTTCCACTGCATCTGGGGCCCTCTCCAGTTGTCCTGATCCATATGTGGACACTGGACCCGCATGGCTCCAGAGGAGAAAGTAAGGCTGGTGACTTGGCACAGCCCTCCCTCGCTTAAATCCAATTCACTTGCACGTCATGGCATCACCTCCCTGGTGTCATGGTCCTCTTCAAGAACGAAGGACAAATGTCAATAACAAGGGGGAGCAGGGCTGACCTTGCTCACAGCTCTGAATTTACTCATCCAATGAACACTTATTAACCACATGCAAAGCTCTGGCATTAGGTGCTGGGGGAACCATACCTGTGATGTGGTGCCTGCCTTCATAAAGGTTATAGTTAAGTGAAGACACAAACCCAGAGATTTCTAAAATTTAACATCACAGGATACAAGCACATTCGAGCCAAGCAAAACAAAGCAGTGTGTGAGGTCCAAGGAGGAAGGTCATCTGAAGCCTCATGTACACTTCCCTTCCTCTGGGATTTAGCCTGAGGTTGCATTCCAATGTCCTTGGGAGGCAGATTTCCGCCCTCAGAGAGATTTACCAGGAAGTCTTCTTTTCAATCAAAAGGGTCCTTTCTGAAGGTAGTGAGCTCCCCAGAGAAAAAAAGTGGGTAACTGGCTACCTATCTTGAAAAGTGGGGGAGAGGGAGGAGACAGAAGGTCCAGGCTCCTGTATTTGAATGCAGTTCAGTTGCATAGGGTAGGAGGTTGGACTGGATGACCTCCCAAATCCCTTCTAGCACTGAGATCCGGCTTTCTGCCTCTGGGATCCAGAGGGTCAAACGCCGATCCCCCACCCCACCACTCCAGTGGCTGGTCCAGAGGTCAGATTGTGGAGCTGGACTGGAAGAGAAGAGAGCACCACCTGCTGGTCACCTAGATCCCTGCCTCCAGCCAGAGTTACGTCAAAGAGGTTTGTTGTTCAGTCATTCTTAGCCGTGTCCAACTCTCCATGACCCCATTTGGGCTCTCCTTGGCAAAGATATTGGAGTGGCTTGCTGTTTCCTTTTCCGGCTTATTTTACAGATGAGGCAACTGAGGCTAACATGGTTAAGTGACTTGCCCAGGGTCACACAGCTGGTAAGTGTCTGAGGTTCAATTTGAACTCATGAGGATGAATCTTCCTATTTCCAAGCCCAGTGCCTTATCCACTGTGCCACCCAGCTGCCCCTCAAAGAGGTTTGGGAGAATAGATTTAGATCTAGAAGGGACTTCAAGGGCCTTCTAGCCCAATTCCCTCATTTGACAGTTGAGAAATAAGTCTGAGTGACTTTAAGTGACTTGCCCAAGGTTACACATGTAGTAATTGACAAAGCCAAGATTTGAATCTAGGGCATGACCACCAGGTACAGGGAAGATGATAATCTCACTGCCCTCAACCCTTGTCAGACCTCATATGGAGTATTGTGTTGTCTTCTGGCCACACGGTATAGGAAGGACATTGATTAGATGGAGATCCCCCAAAGGAGAATAATCAGGGTGGCGAAGGGCTTTGGGTTCGTGGCATATAAGGAGGAGATGAAGAAATAGGGAATGTTTAACACAGAGGAGAGTCAGGGGGATCTGATGCCATCTCAAAGTATTTGAAGGGCTGTCACGCAAAAGGAGGTGAGACTTGTTCTGTTTGGCAGAAGGGGAGCAATTAGCGGAAGTGACGAAGAGGCAGATTTAGGCTCCACGTCAGGAAAAAACTTCCCAGAACTGGGAGATGTCCAGACATGGCGTGGCTCACCTTAGACGCATCATGGATGCCCCCCTCCTGGAGGTCTTCAAGCAGATGTTGGATGACCAAGTTGGTCACATATGTGACAGTGGGTTGTCTTTTGTGATTGGTTTGAACTACATGGCCACCAAAGTCTGCCCCCCCACACTCTAGTTCCACGATTCTGTTCTCTGACTCTGAATCCAGCATGCCCCTTTCTCTCTCCTGGCACTACAGCCATCCTGGTACAGTCCCTCCTCACCTCATGCCCAGACTGTCACAATAGCCTGCTACTGGGCCACCGGTGCATCCTCCACTCAGCTGTCAAAGGGATCTCCTAAAACACAGGTCTGTGTTACCTTCCCACTCAATAAACCCCAGCAGCTCCCTGTCATCTCCAGGATCTAATAATACGAACTGCTGCTTGGCATTCAGAGTCCCGCATTACCTGCCCCCATGCCTTTGCAGTCTACTTTGTTCCCTCCACGTTCCCCAAAATCCAGTGATGCTGGCCTCTTTACTGTTCCTCATACAAAACATTCTGTCCCTGGACTCTGGGCATCTTCTCTGGCTCTCCCCATTCCTGTAATGCCTTCCTGCCTCATCTATACCTCC